GTCTTGTGAAGCTGACGGCTGTAAATCCTGAAGCTTGGCACAGTTTGTTTGTTCATGGGAAAATCCTCAAAGTAAGTATTAACATAGCAGCGTGAGATCCAAAGACAGTCCACTTATCTGTACTGTAGTTATCCTGTATTTATTTATTAGTTTTGACTGAACAATATATCTATAATATAATCTACTTTATTTCCTTATTTACAGCCAGACGCTGATTTCATTATGATGAGCTGCCAACCACATTTCAGTGAAAAGGGGACATCTAGGGAGAGAACTGAGAGGAACATCATAAATTTGCAGGAGATTGAAGTATCAGGTACTATATAGTATTAGCTGTATATACCTATAGTATTGTATATATACCGTATGAATCTGTTAAATATTTTTGCTTTGACATGACACTAGGAAGTATTCTTAGTTGTTAATTTAAAACATTGTAATCCAGATTGCTTTTTATTTAGAAAAGACTTCAGAAACATTTTCAAACATCACAGATGGAAACACAGGCGGTGCAGGTGGTGAAAAATCAGAGTTGCTGTCCAGCATGTGCTCCAGTGGGTGACCGGCCAGTCCCATGTTCCCATCCTTCCTGATGAAAAGAGACATTTCAAAATAACAAGTTTGACCACGAATGTAAGGAGCGGCTGGGAGATCACTCCATTTGTTACCCAGTTGTGAGTGCATGCACTTGTACTGGGACTTTTCCAGTGCAGCATCTGGACACTTACACAGAGGTTAAAACCATAATGAGTGCAGCAGTTAGATATGGTGGTGGATTCCACAGAGTTTAACACATTGTTGTCTTGTAATTTGGAAACTAAATGAGTAAAAATGTTTCTAAACATTAGCTGTTAAGATGTTCATGAAAATGACAAGACTTCTTCAAAACTTTGTGTAGGGTCCTACATTGATAGATAATAAGCAAATGCTTTGTTTGCTTGTCTACTTGTAATCTGAATGTTTTAGCAAAAAAATCCAGTATTTGAGAACTTAAAAGAGCATTGACTTTCACGTCCATGTTAAGTGTCACTGTTGGTTTGACACCTGTAGCAAGAATCGTATGTACAGGTCACGACCGTGTGACTCAGAATGTTCCAAAGGATTAATTGTTCTCTGAAGTCCCTCCAGGGTTTCCTCATCCAGTGGGCATTCAACCTCAGGAACCACAACTGTGCTGTTAGATTCTTCTTGCAGTCCAGCACTCTCCCAGTCAATGCCTGGATGCTGAAGCTCCTTCAAATCCACAAACATATATAATGGTCATTATTCCAGAATAGGTACTTTTGGGAGTAATGTTATTTTGTGTAAGCGTTTTTTCCATTAAATACAACAATTTAAAAAGAATGCCTTTGTTTTCATGTTCTTCCTACTGTAATTTAGATTAGTGGTAATTGAAAAGCAAGAATGTATAAAATCACCAGAAGCATCTCCCAGATGTGCTACAAGTGTTTAATTTGTTAATTTCAGAAGAGCAGAGTTAACTGCTAACTAAAATTTTGAAATTCAACATTGAAATAAATTAAAAAGAAAATCTGATTATGATCTGGTACCTCAAGTCTCTCGCCCTCGTCCAGCTCTTGTAGATGTCCCATACACCAGAGCTGTTCGGGAGTAAGACCACCTTCTGTCCCGAGGGGATGATTATTCCATCCTCCAACAAAGGTGACAAAATCTGCTCAGAGACGAGGGACAAAGATGTAGTGGACACCAAAGAGATGAAAGATATCCGAAATGTCAAGCAGGGCGTCCCCCTCGAGTGAGTGAAGAATATCATGGTACTTGCTTGTGACTGCAATCCAGACATCACGCCAAAGTCGTTCTACTCTGTAAATACATTTCAATTTGGATTTCAGGTATTTCATGCTTCAAATCAATATCAGAACTGCTACAACAATCTACCCATGCAGTCA